AATATCCCATTGTGTGTATGTGTATAAATATATACAGATAGATATATTTGATCTATCAAATCAATAAAAGATAAATCAATAAAGAAAATGTGGTGTATGATCATGGTGTATGATCCTTTTAATGTACTACTGAATTTGGTTTGCTAGTATTTTGTTGAAAATTTTTGCATCTATGTTCATCAGGAATATAGGACTGTAGTTTTCCTGCAGTGTCTTTACCTAGCTTTGGTATCAGGGTAATGCTAGTTTCATAAAATGAGTTCAGAAGTGTTCTTTTCGATTTTGGGGAAGAGTTTGAGGAAAATGGTTATTCTTTTAAATGTATGATAGAATTCACCAGGAAGCCACCAAGTCTTAGGCTTATCTTTGTTGGGAAGTTTTTGATTACTGATTCAACTTCCTTTTGGTCTGTTTAGATTTTCTGTTTCTTCACGATTTAGTCCTGGCAGTCTGTAGGTTTCTAGGAATTTATCCATTTCTTCTAGGTTACCCAATATGTTGGCTTATAATTGTTCATAGCAGTCTCCCACGATCCTTTGTATTTCGATGGTTCAGTTGTAATAATATCACCTCATTCATTTATAATTTTGAGTGCTTTTTCTTGGTTAGTCTAGCTAGCTAAAGGTCTGTCAATTTTGTTTTTCAAAATGAGCTCCTTTGTCATTGATTTTTTTTCCAAATTCCTTCTAGTTTCTATTTCTTTTATTTCCACTCCAGACTTTATTATTTCCTCCCCTCTGCTAATTCGGGGCTTAGACTATTCTTCATTTTCTATGTCCTGAGGTTTAAAGTAGGATGTTTATTTTAGATCTTTCTCTTAATATGTGGGAATTTACTGCTATGGGTTTCTCTCTTAGGACTATTTTTAATATATACCATAAATTTTGGTATGTTGTATTTTCATTTGTTTCGATATACTTTCTGATTTCCCTTTTGATTTTTTCTTGCCTGACTGATTGCTCAGGAATGTATTAATTTCTATGTACTTATGAATTTTTAGGTTTTCCTCCTATTACTGATTTCTAGTTTCACACCATTGTGGTCAAAGATACTTGATATGATTTCAATCTTCTTAAATTTAATAGGGCTTGATACATGGCCCAATATATAATCTGTCCTGGAGAATGTTCTGTGCATGCTTGAGAAAGATGTATTTGGTGCTGTTGGATGGAATGTTCTATATATGTCTATTAGGTCCATTTGGTCTATAATATAATTCAGGCCCTCTGTTTCCTTATTAATTTTGTCTAGATGATCTATTCAGTGTTGAAAGTGGTATTCTGTGGTCCCCAACTATTACTGTATTGCTATCTGTTCCTCCATTTAGGTCTATTAATATTTGCCTTAAATATTTAGGTGCTTCAGTATTGGGTATGTATATATTTATAACTGTTACAGCCCTTTGGTGAACTGACCACTTTATCACCATGTAGTGACCTTCTCTATCTCCTGTGACCAATTTTGACTGAAAGTCTGTTTTATCTAGCATAAATAGAGCCACTCCTGTTCTCTTTTGGTTTCCATTTGCATAAAATAGCTTTTACCATCCCTTTACTTTCAGCTTGTGTGTGTCATTAAAGCTAAAGTGAATCTCCTGTAGACACTATATTGTTGGATAATTTTTTTTTTTTTTTTTAAATCCATCAACTGGGCAGCCCTGGTGGCTCAGCGGGTTTAGCGCTGCCTCCAGCCCGGGGCGTGATCCCAGAGACTCACGAGTCCCACGTCAGGCTCCCTGCATGAAGCCTGCTTCTATGCCTGTGTCTCTGCCTCTCTCTGTGTGTGCCTCTATAAATAAATAAAAAATGTTAAAAAAAATAGCCAAGAGCTTTAAAAAAAAAAATTAAAAAAAAAATCCATCAACTACTCTGTGTCTTTTGATTGGAGAATTTAGTCCTTTTATGCTTAAAGTAATTAATGCTAGGTAAGGAATTACTATTGCCCCTTTGTTAACTGTTTCCTGTTTTTTTTTTTTTTTAATTTCCTTTGTTCTCTTATTGTCTTCCTTTGTGCTTTATTCTTACTGGTATGCTTTAATCCCTTTATATTTTATATATCTATTATAGTTTTTTTCTTGGATACAATGGATACTATGAAGCTTACATAAAACATCTTATAGACATAAGAGTCTATTTTAAGCTAATAACAAGTTACCCTTCTCTATGATGTTATATTTCTAGTGACATAATCTGATACTGTTAGTGTTTTCAGTAGAAATGAGACCAGTTATCACCGCTGAGTCTAGTTAGCCAAAATCCCAGAGAATTTTTAGTTATTCATCTACTACTTAAAGGATGCTTCCACCATTCTTGGTATAGGACAGATGAAGACCAATAAGACATACAATCCCGGTCCTCATGGAGGGCAAAATTTAATGGAAACACTGTCATCATGTAAACAGTTTATGAAATTACAAATGTGGTAAAAGCCCCAAAGAGAAATACTACAGGCTAGGGGCATATATCATGAGGAGACTGGGCACTAAAGTAAATCAAACAGTGCTTTGGGGAAAAGATAAGCAAAGACTTAACAATAAGAGTTAAAAACTAAGAGAAAGAGCAAAGTACTTCCAAAATTGAAAAGGAACTAAATGACAAGGCAATTAAAGAAGATCAGTTTGTTTCAAGTATGGTAAGGATGGGAAAGGGGACATGGAAGAAGCCTGGAGGCAAGCAACTGAAATCTTGCAAGTCCTTGGGGTCCAGTTTAAGGAGTCTGCATTTTCTGTGTAATGGGAGGCCACTAAGTGTGGTTCAAAGCAGAGAAACAATAAGAAGGGATTTACAATTTAAAAAGCAAATGCTTACTGTATATGGAAGATATATTTAGGTAAAGAAGAATGAATGTAGGTAGATCAGCTGAAAGGGAAGCTAGGGCTATAGTCCACAGGGGAGATGATGGCAGGATAGGCTAGACTAGAGGTTGTGGTGATAAAGAGATTCAAGATCTATTTATGGCTTGATGACAGACTTTATGCGGGGGATAATGAGTAGTGTTAACCCTAAAGTTTTTTGCCTGAAAAATGGAGTAAATGATAAGGACATTTTACTGATAGCAAATAATTTCTTGTATAATAAGGGATATCAAACTGGGCTTCCCCAACCTGAATTTGGATAATTAAGGTTTTAAGCTTATTCCAAGACTTTTGCATTCATCCCTGTAAATGTTTTCATTTTTTGGCTCATACTTCCAGTCAGTTCAGAATATTTAAAATTTTTTGGTCTAATATCCAAAATCTCCTATTAACTCCTCTCAGCTTCTATCACCTACAAATTTTGGAAGTCACACTTTGTAACACTTATGAAGTTGTTACTGAAGATGCAAAAAGGGGACAGGATTAAGTATCTTTTTTTTTTTTTTTTAAATTTATTTATGATAGTCACAGAGAGAGAGAGGCAGAGACACAGGCAGAGGGAGAAGCAGGCTCCATGCACCGGAAGCCCGACATGGGATTCGATCCCGGGTCTCCAGGATCGCGCCCTGGGCCAAGGGCAGGCGCTAAACCGCTGTGCCACCCAGGGATCCCCAGGATTAAGTATCCAGCCCTCGGTGCATCACAAATAATCTCTCTTCAGGTTGTCAACAACTCATTAAACAACTGAGGCCTGTAGCTAACACCAGTAATAACATTAAACACTTAGAACGTGCCTAGCACTTAATGTTCATTTTTAAATTTGATTTTCATGATACTGTTTCCATCCCCAAATACTCACTAATCTCTTGTTATGTGTCAGAAACTGAGGCAGGGACTATTATCATGCCCACTTTAGAGAGAAGGAAACTCAGGCCCAGACATGAAGTAATTGGTTTTACATTACACAGGGAAGAGCAGAGTTTTAACATGAACTCCTGCTCTGAGACTTTCAAACACATAATGTTAAATACTGAAGTTTCATTTGTATGCTTGTATTAAATTTTATTACTTCCTTTTTTCTTATAAGTCCAGCTCTAAGATGTGAGAATACACACACACACATACATACACACAGGCCATAAGGAATTTTTCCAGACCAGCTTCTCTATTACTTTCATCAAAGAACTTCTCAGTATTATCTCTACAACATTTTCTAGTTTCTACATGTTCTTCATAGTATCACATTTTTAGTTTAATTAAGGGCTTTTTTCCTCCTTCTGCTATCATAGTCAGAGTTCAGTTTCTTGATCAGATAATATAATTCTTCTCTCTCTATCCTCTCTTTCATGGGGTCAGCAATATTATGCATTCCTGTTCAAATTCTAATACCCCTATTAGGTTAGAAAACAGTTTTCATGGTTAAATGATAGAGGTCAAAGAAATCAAGATTTTATACAGCTGAGATTTCTTGTTTACATTTTAAGAAACACTGCTGTATTTCATAAATACTTTTTATAAAATGGGATAATTGAATTTCACAATATTCTATTTGGGCTCAAATAACAGTAACCTGGTTTACTAAGTTGGTAATTTAAGAAAATGAATGCAAATAAAATAAACAAGATTCTGAACTACTAGAACTCTATCTGTCCCCATTTCCAATGAAATATTCTCAGAAGAATGTTTTGGTTAAGAAAAAAGGGGCAGTGCAAAATTAAACAAGAATATATTTTGCTCTTACAATGCATTTCGGATAAGTCAGCTTCCAAAGTGCAACATTTGCTTTCCACAAGGTATGTAAAAAAGTTCTCTATCAATATCAAATTATGATAAAATTTTTCAGTTTAGAGAAGATAGTTGTTTTGCAAGGTTTATTAGTGCAAGAAAAATATATGGCCAAGAAAGCACTACCAAAGATTTAAGTGGCTACAGTGACTGTCATTTTCAAATTCAAGAACATGACAGAGTTTTACTGAGAGTAGTTTCAGTGTTCCATTTCTAACACAACGTGGGATTTTCAAAAACTGTTTTTATGTAGTCTAAACAACAACAAAACAGCTACATCTACTCAGTATTCTCACTAAATGCAAAACATGCTTCTTCAAATACCAAAAATAAAAGCAACACTATACCTAAGAGATCTCACCCTTAAGTTTCTGGAGATCCTCCTTCAAATCAGGCCCCGCAAGCATGAAGATACTCTCTGACACCGGGTTCTTATCTGTAAGATTTTCATTGCTTGTATTCACAATGGCTGTACAGTTCAGTAATGCCACATCTCCTTTCCTGAGGAAATGATAAACAAAAAACAACCGTGGGGAAGAGAGGTAGGTAACAAAGCTAACTGCTAATTCTTTCAAGACATTCTATCCTCACTCCCTTCATAACGTTGGTTTTGGTAGCTCACAAGCTTAAGCAATAGCAGAAAAGCAATTCTGAACTCAGGGAGACAAATCTTCAATGCAAATGCTACAACCCTGAAACCCACAGAACCCTCATAATATGCCTTTGTTTTTTCTGAATTTCTTTTTCACTGTAATGAATGCTTCTACATGCTAAAGTGGCTGGTTTCAAGAGTATACCACAGCAGCATTATTTATGATAGCTAAAAATGGAATAATCCAAAGGTCTATCAGTCAGTGAACTGATAAACTGATAAATGTGATAGGTATATCCATACAATGGATTATTTGGCCATAGAAAGGAATGTAGTACTGATTCATACTACAACATGGGTGAACCTTCAAAATGTTATACTAAGTCACAATTGATTTCATTTACATGAAATGTCCAGCAGATACAAATCTATACACAGAGGATAAGTGGTTGGCTACAGCTGTGAGATGGGGTAAATGAGGAATGACTCTTAATGGGTATAGGACTTTGGGGTGATGAAAATGTTCTAAAATTGACTGTGGTGATGGTTATAAAACTTTGTGAATATGTGAAAAACCACTTATTGACTCTGGGAAATGCAAACAAATCTATAGTGAAGAAAGATCAATATTTGCTTGAGAATGTGGAGTTGGGTAGGTAGGAGGCAAGAAGGATTACCAAGCGACACAAAAAAAATACTTTTGAGAGTGATAAAAATATTAACTATCTTGATTGTGGTGATCAAAGTGAGATAGCAGGTTCATGGATACATACAAGTCAAAATTCACCCAACTGTAACATTTTAAAAATGTGGAGTTTATTGTATGCCAATTATACCTCAATAAAACTCTAAGTATACGCAAAACAATAATTCAACAATGCTAGGCCTTACCGAAAAAAAAAAAAAGTTTAGAAGAAACGAGGAAAAATTTAGAAGGAATTATTATGAGTACTATTGTAACATTATAACATGATATAATTTAATCAAAGAATTACCAAAGAACCACTTTCCCATTGATATCCTTATTGTAAAGAAAAGGTGATCTAATAGTGTTTTCCTGAAATGTCTCAGCTGCACTATCAGAAGTATTTAATTCATCTTCCCACGAGTCGCCCCAGCTTGATAGTGTATCCACATCCACAAACTGGGAAGGTGCACCCAAGGGATCCATGGAATGGGAACTTCAGCTTCTTTCCCCAAATTCCTCAGCAATTCAATATTAACTGGAGACTTTAGCTTAAAAGAAAAGAAAGAACTGTTTTATTAGAGAAGTACAGATACTACTTTACTTCTATTAGATAAAAAAAAATCTCTACTGTGAAATGCTCTAATAGGACATTGTATGATTAGTCGCTTAAAATATTCCATGAAAACCAATATACAACAAAGAATTGCTATAATTTCTCTAAACCAGGAAGAAAGGGGAATTATTTAAGCACAAATTCTTTTCAGAGAATCATAGCCATTAAAATAATCACATGGCCCACCAGTTCTGCTTTCCAGAAACACAGGTCAATTCAGTCAACATTCACTGAATATTTGCTATTGGGGGAAGGGGGGAGTGTTAGGTGCTGCAAGAGATATAAAAATAAGTAATATGCACAATTTGAAGAGTTCAGTCAAAAAAAGTAAAAGTTCAGTCAAACTGATAATATGGAGGTAAGATCCTAATGACAACTGAGTAAGACAAAATGAGAAGCAGGGAGGTTCCTGCAATCAAGAAGTAAAGAGGTAAGAAAAGTCTGAACTTAATAGAGCAGATGGAGAAGGCAGCATGGATTTGAGAGGCAAAATACCAAGGAAGAATTAACAGAACTGGACAATTTATAAGGTATGGCATGAGACACAAATGTGGTAGGATGTTGGCTGTACAGAAATATAGAAATTAGAAGAGGGTGATAGGAAGACACACAGTATCAAGTATTACAATGAGAAGTAAGGATATTTAATTTGCCAAGAAGTCAGACAGCTGTTTCAGCAAAATGTAGATTCATTCATTTAACAAATCTTTATAAGCATTCATTGTGTAATAGGTACTGTTCTAGGCACTGGATATATACTGGTGAATAAGACAGCGCAAGTCCACACACTTACTGAGCTTATGCTTCCTGGAGAAGAGATGATAAATGATAACTAAGCAAGCAAGCAGGTATCCAACAGAATGGAAGCAGTAATATGATGAGAAGAAAAGGTGGTATCTGAGTAGAGAGCTAAATAAATGGATATGGGCATGGGAAGCCCTGCAGAGTATTTCAGAAAGAGGACATACTAAGAGAAAAGACCCAAAGGTAAGGAAGGAGCTGGAGGGAGCTGGAAGGGCAAGGAGACTGCTCTGGATAGAACAGAATAAGCTAGGTAATGAGTAGTAGGTGATGAGGCTGGAGTGAGAGGGAAAGGCTGGATGATGCAGTGTGTAAGCCATGATAAGTAGGTTCAGTCTTACTGTAAATATGGGCAGGAAGTTGTTAGAGGATCTTGATAGAGGGAATGACTTAATATAAATAACCCTTGATCAGATTAGCTGCAGTGAAATGGAGTGGGGGCGAGAGTAAAACAAGAGACCAGCAGAAAATGGCTGCAGTGATCTAAGTGAGACAGTGACAAGAGATGGTTGGATTTGGAACGTATTTTGAAAGGTAGAGTCTTAGAGTCAACAAGATGTGCTAAATGAATATGAAGGGTAAAGGAAAATAACAGAATCAAAGGTAACTCTTAGATTTTTTTCCTTGAGTAACTATATAGATGCTAATGCTATTTACAGGGAAGGGGGGAGGCTGGAGTAGGTTGTGCGGTGGGAATGACAAGGTCATTTTTCCTCATGTTTTTTACACGTGTAAATTTTGAGATGCCCCTCATTTGGCCAAGCACTGATGTAAGACACACAATTAGCTACATGAGGCTAGAGCTCAGAGGAGAGGTTGGGCTACAGACATAAATTTGGAAGACTCAGACTGTGGGTGGCATTTAAGGCTGTAGGAACTGGACATGATTACCAACAGACACAATACGAATGGAGAAAAGAGATCAGAGGACTGAGTCCTAAGGTAAAACGTACAGGCTGCAAAGAGGACAAGTCAAAAAATGAAATAAAGGGGATTGATAAGACAGGAAGAACACCATGAAAGTATGGCACCCTAAAAGCCAAGTGATGGAAGTATTCTGAGGAGAGCTTAAGGATCAGCTAAGGTAAATGCTACTGAAATGCTGAGTAACAGGACTGGGAATTGATTATTGGGTTTTGTAAGGTGGAGGTCTCTGGTAACACTAAGCAGACCGACAATCTGGGAACAAAAGGTAGCATGTGAACCTCTTGATAGGTTTTTCTGTGTGATCCTAATGTTTGTTGTTAGAGGCCAGGAGAACAAACATGCCTTCTTACATCTAATTCCTTGGTGTTTCTTGCTGAGAAATGCGAGAAACTAAGTGCAATGAACCGTGGATCAGGCACGATCTGCTAATTCCTGAACCAGCACCGTGGAGTAGGAAATGTGATAATCTATTTAACAATTTCTGAAAGGTCTTATAGCTTACACTATGATAAACCTGTATAAGAGGATTATTATTCGATACAAAATTTGCCTTTGCAGTGGCCACTTGACACCAGGAGCCACTTAGCATGCCCCTTTGGATCTTGAGCAGAGAAGCAAGGCTTGGGGCAGGAGGGGGTTGGGAGCTGATACTGAGTGCCTGCAGCATCTACTCTGTCTTCACTATTCAGAACTTGTAACTAAAATATTTAAAGAAACTGATTTTAAATGCAAATTAAAGGGCAAATGTTCTCAAAAAAAAAAAAAAATTGCCTTTGAAATTATTTTGAAATAAAGAAACTAATGTTTAGAAGTTGGAGTTTGGGCCAACTGATTGGCCTTTGAAATTGGAGGCAACCACGAGATCTGCTGTATTCAAACCTGAGCTGGACAAGCTGAATAGAGGACAAAGAGAGACTACACGCATTTTCCATGGCTGAACTGCCTGAAGCTCAACAGAATGACACTCTGCAGAAATTCACACTTTAAAAAATTATTCACAGATTTTTGGGGACTAGGACCCATGCGAAAACTTAAGTATAATATAAAAAAATTCCGTTACACATAAAAGTCAGTTTTCATTTTGCAAACTCTAGTGTTAACTTTCAGGACAAAATTACTTCTTTAAAATAACTTTTCTTTCTAAGAGCATTACAGAACATTTAAGAAAAAAAAGTTGAGAGGAAAAACCAAATTTTTTTGAGTTCCTAACTTTTCCTATGATAGGTAAAATTGTAACAAATGTACAAGTTTTAATCTGGCTTCTTTAGCGTTTTTGAGATAAATATTTCCACATGCAACAACTATACTACTGAAGGAGTGGCAGGGTGGTACTATGTGAAAGCCTGGGCTCTGTTATCAGCAGGCCTGAGTTTAGGTCTAGGACCTAACAGTATGTTATCCTTGACTGTAAGCCAGGGTTTTCCTTATTTCAAAAATAATATACTTCTAGAATTATTGTGAGGACTAAATGATATAATTTGGCACAAGGCAAGGCACAATAAAAGTTGTTACAACTTTCTCAGAGCCAATGTGAAAGTCACCTGCACCACTGTGGAGATAAAAACTTGTCTCCGTGTGTGGCAGACACTAAAACACTTGCTGTCAAAGACTCTAATGAGGGATCCCTGGGTGGCGCAGCGGTTTAGCGCCTGCCTTTGGCCCAGGGCGCGATCCTGGAGACCCGGGATCGAATCCCACATCGGGCTCCCGGTGCATGGAGCCTGCTTCTCCCTCTGCCTGTGTCTCTGCCTCTCTCTCTCTCTCTTACTGTGTGCCTATCATAAATAAATAAATTAAAAAAAAAAAAAGACTCTAATGAGCACCAAGACCAAACACAAATAACTAAATTAAGATACACTTATTTATCTCAATGCCTGCCCTTGTAATGATTTGTTAATTCCTAACACCTAGATCAATCAACATCTATTTTTCCTAATCCTGCTTATACTACTAGAAAAAAAAATTAGTAATTATCCTGTCTTCTGCCAAGACAAATTCATGTTTTCGACTAGGCCCTCCATCAACCCTATTAGGAAACTGTTTTAATAATTCTTGGGTGACTCTCTATACTATACCATATAGCACCTGTGGTAAACATCCTCCAAGATATCCTTCAAGGATACCTGCTTCCTGATATCTTTGCCCCTGTACAGCTGCCTCCTATTATGAATAGGGCTGACCCATGTAACCAACAGGATACTGCAGAAATGACAGTATATGCCTTCCAAGGATGAGTCATAAAAGATATTGGTGCTCTTTCTTGAAGTGCTTGCTCTGGAGGAATTAGCTTGCATGATGCGAGACACTCAAGCAACCCATGAAAAGGCCCCCGTGGGAAGAACTTGAGGGTTCCTGCCAACAACCAGTATCAATGCCCAGGCAGGTGAAGGAATCACCCTGGATCTTCCAGACTTAATTGGGCTTCAAATGACTTCAGCCCAGCTGACATCCTGATTGCAACCTCATGAGAAACCCTCATGAGCCAGAACCACAAAACTAAGCTGCTACTGAATTCATGATCCATACAAATTGCCAGTAATAAATGCTTATTTGCCTACTATATTCATTCCTTTATTCAAGTATTGCTAGTTGTGGAGACTCTAATGGAACAGACAGACTCACAAAAAGCACACAAATGCATAATCACAGAAATAAATACATAGTATCTGTGAGAAGTATTCTGTAAAGAACAAGGTGGAAGGCTAATTTAGATTTGGAGAAGCAGAGAATGTCTCTTCCAGAAAGTGATGGTTGAGATTAAAAGTAGAAGGGTTTTACAGAGGTAAGGGCACATCTAGGTGCCACACTTTAAAGCCTGCCAAATTGCCTTCTTTTAGGCATTTTACTGCACTTCACCAGCTCTCCTCTAAAAAAATGTCATTACTCTCCCTTCACAATATCTGACCTCTCCTTCCCCTTGGTCCTCCTATTCTCAAAAAAATTTCCTACCCCATTTCTTCTTCAGACACCCACAAAACTCCTTGTTCCACCATTCACCTTTATAGGCATAAATCTGTTTTGCAGTTCTATTTCCTTTTCTCCCATTCATTCAACCTACTCCAGTTTTGCTTCCGTCTCTGGTAACGATGCTAAAACTGCTTTTTCAAGGTCTAACAAGGACTAAACAAATGTCAAATCCGGAAACTTTTAGTTGCATTAATTATTGATCATTCTTTCAAATTCTATTACCTTCTTTGATGGTACACTTCTAGTGATTCTCCTATATCTTTAATCACATCTTGTCCATATATATAATTTGTTGGACCTTCTTCCCAGATCTTAAAAGTCACTGTGACCCATAAGATATTGGGTACTAAATGAGTAATAAATACACAGTTCAGAGCTCTCATAGTTTAACGGCATTATAGAAAGTGTCATGGCATTTGACAAAGGGTAAATTCCTTTTAAGCTCCATCTCTGGGCAGAAATTGATTTTTCTCACCAAAGAGAGATTTAAATCTTCCCTCTTCTCCAACACAGCAAAGCCAAGCTAGGCAGGAAAATCTGATCCCTGATGTTTAAGGTATAGTGGTTCTTAACATTCCTAGGGCCACTGACTCCTCTGAGAATCATATAAAAGGTCAAGACCTTTTTACCATCCAAAATGTGAGTACATGATGAGCCCACACAAGCACGGAGTTGCAAATAAATTTGAGAAGGTTCCCAGACTCAGAATGAGAACCTCAGTGATAGGAAGAACACAGAGTGCTCAGGTGAGGGAGGGGGAAAGGGTAATCTATAGCTAAAGCCAGAATTTTGGTTAACAGTAAAGAGGACCAAGACTTTCCACTATCCGTTGATCAGTTCTGTACTTTGAACAGCTTTATAAGCAAACACTAAATCCTAGTATTAAAGGCTCCTGAGGCAAGACATCTATATGTCCAGAATCAAAAAATTCTACATGAGACAAACATAAGATTTCAGAAGGGATCATACCTATTTCCTCAGCCATACTATGTTAAGGGTTACCTTTAGTATCTTCATGAATGAGGACCTAAATACGAAGAGAACACTCTATATCGTTTATAATTCAAATGCATTATAAGTATAAACCATTCTCATTACCCTGTGGCTCGTCTCTTTTCTCAATATTGTCAACGTTTAGGTTAAGTGCTCCTTTTTTTTTTTTTTAAACAAATCTTCCAATCTTTTAGTGTAAGAAGTCCTCTAAATAATGCTTTATATGAATAACTGGATTGGCTAGAGAGGTTTTTATTGTTTAGGACTAAGTGCAAATCAGGCAAAATACCCTGGATCATGTCTTGGCATAACCTGGCTTTTGTCTGGATAAAAAGAAAATGGTATCGTTTAAAAGAGAAAAACAGGAACTTTAAATCTGTTTGCTTGTTCTTCAAAATGCTTACATTGATTAGACAGACTTGGATATAAGTATGAAGAGAGCTGTCCATGCTTTTGACCATTAATTACCAGCTCTCTTTCACTGTATTTGCATTAATTACAGGCTTGCATTCTTTATGCCTTGTATTCCAATATTTAAAACTTCAGAGCACATTAGATATTTGTGTATAGTACCTTCATCCCAACATCAAATCTATTATAATATTTAAAAATCATTCTACGCAAAAGGAAATAACCTTTTTTTTTAAAGTCACTTAGGTTGGAGAAACAAACTGAAGCCGTTAGATAGGCCACCAATAAATACGGTATAAAAAAGTATTTCTAAGTGGTGTCAATGGCCTATGTCAAATTTAACATGGTCATTCAAAAATATCCAAAGCACAGGCTCCAATGGTGAGTCCGTAGTACCATCTTCATATTCAAAAAAGTTTACTATGTCCTAATTATAAGTACTAATATATTGAACTATTTGAAACTTAAATTAGAAATTAGGGTTATACTCTTTAATACTGTATGAATTGGGAATTTCATGATGCATATCTTAGCACAAAGCGGCTCTTACACCAACTCTTATTAAAATTATTTTTTCAATTTGTGATTGCTCCTTCCCATATTTCATAACATTTAAAAACATTTAAGTAAAATCATGACTCGTTCAAACGTAAAAATGAATTAAACATTCAAGTCAAAAGAGAAGCCTGCGGGTGATACATAAAAGGAATCCCAAAATTGAACACATTAATAGATAAGGAATATCAAAATGAATGTCCAAGAAGGTAACTTCCACTGAATCTCTAAGAGGACAGAATCTGCATGTCAGTAGACAAAAATCACTTAGTATTGACATTAGTCGTCTATAGTTTGCAGAGTCGTAAAATAATTTTCTTGGAATGGCTTTCAGGATAGAATCTAGATTATGCAGTTTTCTACTGAAGCGCACATTTTGTTTTCCCCCTTTAATGATATACTGCACATCCCCTACGGGAGACAGTAACCGTACACACCCACCGAAATACTCCCTTCCCCGTGAAACTTACTGAAATAATAGTCTGTTGCCACAATATCCTCCCTTCTCATTCATCCAACCCACAGCAATCCTGTTTCAAAACACCTACGTCTATCTACAGTCTCGTCACATCCATTCGCTACGACTGCAATTTTCTTGAATGTGAAAGACTGACTGGCTGCACATGTCTTACGATTGCAAAACACGTCTGAAAACAATCAGATAGTTCTAGGTTGGCTGCAGGTATCCTGTTCAACAAGCGAAGCCAGGGGCTTACTTCCTTCGTACTGCTCTACGCTAGCTTTAATTTTCCACAACCACAGACGTCGAAACTCAAGTCTGAGCATTTCTGTACAGCCCAAGAAGAGAAGCCCGACAGAGCTGCAGGAGGGAAAAGCTCCTGCGTACCTGGTGACAAGAGCACCTCAACCTCAATTACCAAGCAAGGAGGAGTCCGCCGTGGGCAGTTCCCCCTCATGTGGCCAGGGAGCCGAGACACAAAGCCAGACCAACGTCACTCCAGGGACTGCAGGGATGCAGACGACTCAGCATCCTGGGCTTAGCCCCTACTCAGACCTGACTCGAGCCGCCCTCGGGCTGTGGCACCTCGGGTCCCCGTGCACCGCAACACACACTCGACCCTGGGGCTGGAGCCGGCGGGAGTCCCTGCCGCCCTGCCCCACCTGCATCCCGGGGCAGGCCTCCCAGTGGCCGCGGCGCCACGGTCCCTGGCGCCCAGATCTGCCTACCCTGTGCCGTCTTGCCGACAGGTCTTCCCCGACAGCGCCGCGGGCCCGAGGAGCCCGATTAGCCGCTGGGGACGAAGAGGCGGGCTCATCCTTCCAGAGGGCGCACAGCACCAACCCTCTCCACCCGCACACCCCCAGCCCCGGCCGAGTCCGAGCACCTCCCGCCGCGCCCCCCGCCCGCCCCGCCCCGCCCCGCCCCGCCCCGCCCCGCCTTCCCTCCCGGCCCCGGTCCCGCCTCTCACAGCACCCCGGCGGTCCCATCCGGGCGGCAGCCGGGCCGATTAAGCTCCTCGTAGAAAGCGGCCGAGCGGCATCCCCGAGCACCCGTGGCCAGGAGCGCGGCGGCCTGGCGCGTCACAGTCCCGGGAGGCAGAAGGGACCAGCGAGCTGCAGGAGCACGGAGCCGCCAAACGCCGGCTTCCGCTACCGGCCGGCCGTCACCGACCAGACTCCGGCCTTACGTCATTTCCTCCTCGGAGGCCGAAGGAATGCCGGGCGGAAGCGGGTCCAGAGCGGAGCCGGAAGGGGTGGGGCCTGTGGGCGGGGCCAGGCGGCCGGGAGCCTCGTGCGGGCGGAGGTGAGTGCTGTGTGCGCCCGGCGGTCGGTCGCCCCTGCTCGCCGCTCGCAGTTGCTCGCTCCTGGTAGAGGCCTCGGCGGCGCCAGCAGCAGATGAGACGCGGGCGTTTGCGGCGGGCTGCTAGGGAGTGAAGGGGACCCCGAGCGACTGCGAACCTACGGTCGCCGGGGGCCACCCGCACACGCCCGGGGCTGGCGCTTGGCCGCCGCCGCCCCGAGGATGCTGAGGCCGCGCGATCCGTGCCCGGAGCCCTCCTCACTGTGTCCTGACTGAAGGCTCGGGGTAGGGACGTCGGACAGGCCTGTAACTGCCCCCGGCGTCAGGGCATCGTAGAAGCGAGTTGTTTGGGGGCTCCGTAGGTAGGAAGCTGGGATGGTAGGCCGCGGGGGAAGGCTAGGTTGTGACCCCTCTCCCCTAGGCGGGGAGATCGTGCACGTGAAATACAGAAGACCAGAGCCGAGGAGTTCGAGGAGTTCGAGGTGTTCAATATCCAGGCCACGGAAAAGCCTGCGAGAATGGCTTGGCCTCGGAGGAAGTGGGCCTCAGAGGGTAACACCGACCTAATAAAATAGGTTGACCTGACAGTGCACGTTAGGGTAGGTGGGAGCAACAGTAGGACGAAAGCAAGGGGGCAGGGCGAGGAAGGAGACCAACTAACCCCGCAGGAACCCAGGGGAACAGGAAGCAGTGGAAAGAGAAAAAAAGAATCCTACTTCAGAAAACCGACGAGTTAGATGGAAGTTTCTGACAAAAGAGGGGGCAGAGGCAAAGAGCAGTTTAGCTTAGTGGTGAAAAGAAGAGGTTTTGGGATTTGACTGGATTGGAACCTGGCTTTGGCGCTTAAAACTAGGTCCATGACTTTGGGCTAGCTACTTCACATATCTTTGCATAGCTTCCTTGTCTGTAACATGAGGGGTAAGAATAGTACCTACTTTGTAAGGTTATTGAGAAGGATTTTTATATTTACAATATTTTAAAAAATATTTTAGAGAGAACATGGGCGTGACCGGGGGGGGGGGGGGAGCTCCGCTCAGGTGATTTGGATGCGTACTGGAGTTTGAGAACCACTGTGCAAGAATATGTATATCCCTCACGAGGTTAGGGATTTTATTTTACTCAGGCTCAATCTGTCAACCTCGGTGTAAAACTTTGATGGCGGTTGAATGAACAGAAGTGAATTGTTTAGCTGCTTTGGGGCCATATGTTAGTTATTTGTGAGGTGGGCACAACAAGGTGACCAATTTAAAACTCAAGGGGTGGGGGCACCTGGGTGGTTCAGTGGTTAGAGCGTTCGCCTTAGCCCCAGGTGGTAATCCTGGGGTCCTGGATTCAAGTCCTGCATTGGGTTCCCTGCAGGGAGCCTGCTTCGCCCTCTGCCTGTGTCTCTGCCTGTCTCTCTCATGAATAAATAATAAAATCTTAAAAAAAAAAAAAAAAGAAAAACTCAAGGAGTGAAGGCTTATGTGTTGAGTCAACAGCAAATAAAGAATGTAGATGTCCAAGTATTTATGTCAATGATTTATCCAGAATAAATAAAGGTTAAGAAGCCACACATTACAGGCTTTACTTGCATGATTAAATATTTGGTGTTTGCTAGCCTAGCAGAACCAAGGCTCCCAGTGAACTGACTTTTCTTTGTGTGTGTGCACAGTTGCCTCACCTGTGGTATCAGACATGGGGCTCACAAAGCAGTACCTACGCTACGTTGCCAGTGCAGTCTTTGGCCTTATTGGCAGCCAAAAAGGTAATATTGTCTTTGTGACACTTCGTGGTGAAAAAGGACGCTATGTGGCAGTACCAGCCTGTGAACATGTTTTCATCTGGGACTTAAGGAAAGGAGAGAAGGTAAGCCAGATATTAACTAGGTTGTAACTAATATGTAGGTATTTGAGAAATAGAGAGGCAGAACTGGAGCTGGTCTGATTTATCATGCCCAGATTTTTTTAAGTGTGTGCCCCTGAAAGAAAGCTTTCCTCTTTGGATCTAAGTAGCCAAGTATCAGGTTCTGTGGTGTTCTTCTGCACTAAATTCTGAAAACCATGACCAAATAGGAGCTTACCTCCTAGGTATCTATTTGTAGTATTTATGGGTAATTGTGATCATTATTCCTGAAGTGTTTGTTTTTTTTTTCTATCAGTTATGTTTCAAGTTCTTCTATTTGGCCCTCACAACCAGTTATAATATATTAGGCATTTAAAAAGAGTGATACTCAGCTATGATGACTGAACCTTTTTTTTTTTTTCCTTTCTTTTTTACTTCCACAGAGAAGGCCCAAGTTTGTTAAAGTAGGCTTTGATACTTTGTGTCACTGAGTTTCCTAAGCCTACCCTTCTGCCACACCAAATAACAGGCATTTTGATCTTGCCCATTCACTCTGTGACTCCCAAGAGGTTAATACTCTGATACTTGATCCATGTTGATACTTGTTTGATACTTCTTTTCAAGGAAGTAGGCTACATGGTTTTATCCCCCAGATATATCTGGGGGATATTAATCTGGGGGATAAAACCATGCAGGACCCTTGTGTCATACAGGTTGGTATCTTTTAAGATGAGGCTCAATTAAAGCAAGGATATGTTTATAACCCTTTATGGAAAAATCATTTGGTGTTAACTTAGGATAAGGACCTGATACTTTATCACTTGGGAAATTTTTGTACGACTTATGCTAATGTAGAGCTTTGGAGAAAGTAATTTTACCCTTTCTTAAATGTTTCATTGTCCTGTACAAATAATAATTCCTATATGAGAGAACTTGAGATGAACTGCAGAATTTCATTATTATTAATAGTAGTAAGAATGATTTGAAATTATTGATACTCTTAATTTTACTGACATGCTAACTATCTGCACATTGTTTATAATTGTGATTTCAGATTCTCATCCTTCAGGGGCTTAAACAAGAAGTCACTTGCTTATGTCCCTCCCCAGATGGACTGCACTTAGCTGTTGGTTATGAGGATGGGTCTATCCGAATCTTCAGTCTCCTGAGTGGGGAAGGAAATGTGACCTTCAATGGACACAAAGCAGCCATCACTTCCCTGAAGTATGATCAGCTAGGAGGCAGGCTGGCATCTGGGTCCAAGGTGAGACCTTGAATCAGGTGCCCAGATTTTAAACTTAGTAAGGGAGTATAAGGCATGTGTTGGACAGGTTGTTCATAAAAGTGTTAGGTGAAACAATCGGTCTTTTGTGTACAAAACAGTGTAGATGGTGGAAATGGAGGGAGGAGGATGAGAATCAATTGGGAGGTTCATTTTGTTTCCTGTCACATTCTCTGATAAAAGCCTATGAAGTATAGGAACAAGATGAGGATGCTCCTGATAACTATTGTATAACATCATTGTAGAAGTGCTACTCAAAATAGTACACAAAGGAAAAAAAAAAAACAGATGGGGTAAGGAGAGACAAAAGTCATTCTTTACTGTTAAAATTGGTAGCTTTCCTATGTCTCAGAGTCATCAGTTAAACAACTATAAAAGATTCCATTTACAATAGTAAATTGTATTAGGTAACAGAAAAATATTAGGAAACTATACTGAAGAATATAACAGAAAACCTGAACAGAGATACAAACCATGTTCTTGAATGGGAAGACAAAGATTCTAGTGTTTTCTACTTAATTTGTATAGTTACAGCAATTTAAATAAGTGTCTCAGAAAGGTTTTGTTGTTGTTAGTTTAAGAATATGACCAAATTATTTAAAAGTATGTATGGAAAACAAATGAATCAAAAACACCAGAAGTTTGGGAAAGAAGAATAATAAAAGAGGACTGCATTTTTTTTTTCAGAGATTTCTTTTTAGGAGTTTTCAATATTAAGATGCATTATGAAGTCATAATTTAAAATGTGTTAAACTAGGGGCGCCTGGGTGTCTCAGTTAAGCGTCTGCCTTCGGCTCAGATTATGATCCCTAGGTCCTGGGATTGAAGCCTGCCATCAGGCTCCTTGCTCAATAGGGAGTCCGCTTTGCCCTTTCCCTCTGCCTTTCCCCACTGCTTGCTGGCTCACTCTCTCTCTCTCAAATAAATAATGTAAAAAAAAAGGTGTTAAACTAATCCACTATCAATATAAACTAGGTAGATATTGCAACCAAATGGGAATCCCAGACTCAAATCCACTTTCATATTAGTGTATTTTATTTTTACTTATTCATTTATTTGACAGAGAGAGAATGAGCAGGGGGGTAGAGGCAGAGGGAGAAACAGGCTCTCCACTGAGCAGGGAGCCTGATTTGGGGCTCTCTCCCAGGACCCTGAGATCACGACCTGAGCCAAAGTCAGCTGCTTAACCAACTGAGCCACCCGGGCGCCCCTAAGTAGTGTATTTTAAAAATGACATTTCTGGTGTATATAAAAATGATTACTTATAAAGCAATACTTAGACAGTTGGCTAAGTATGCAGGGGGATAATCTAAGTTAAAGCTTTATGCCATCTACCAAAATGAGTCACGGATTAAAGACTTTTGTATTGAAGATATTTTAAGCAAACTAGAAGATATGTTAGTAGATATTTATCTGATACCATGGTAGAAAAAGACTTGAAGCATATCAGCAAACAAAGAAATTGTAAAGGAAAAGATTGACAGATTTAATGTTTACATTTGAAACATTTGTAGATTTAAAAGAAATAGGAAAATTGTTAAGAGTAAGTCCTAAGAGAAAGGCACATGATGTAATGAGCACGGGTTTTATATAAGACGGATGAATCACTGAAAACTCTACCTCTAAAACTAATGATACATTATCTGTTAATTAATTGAATTTAAATTAAAAACAAACAAGAAAAAAGAAGAGTAAGTCCTAGAAACAGTTCTCACATTGAGGATTTTTTTTTCCTTTTGTCTTTTTTCTTTTCATTTTGTGTGAGAAGATAGATCATGCT